CAGCTTCACCCAGGAGGATGTGGTGCCTGTTCCAGAGGGGCTGGGCACCCCTGCACCCCTCCGGCTCAGTGTGCTGGGTGGGGAGGGTCGGGAGGCCCGGCAGGAAATGGGGAAGGTCTGGAAGCCGCAGAGGGAATGGTGCTGTTCCAGGGGGCTCCATATCAGACTTGGACCTTTCCTGCTGCTCTGGTGTGTAACAGCTGCAGCAACACACAGGGTGTGTGTATAATGTCACACTGACATTCGTAGCCATGAGTGCAGGGATTTGCTGTGTTCTGCATTTTGGCAACCAAGGACGAACACCTGTATGGACAGAGCTGACATCGGGCTCGTGTCACTGGTTTTCAGCAGCCGGCTGCTTGGTTTGAGGTTGTTTTGGGTGGAGAAACTGCTCGTGAGCTGCCCTTTGGCAGTTCTGTGGGTGTGATCCGTGCCTGCCCGCACACACTGCTGTGGGAGCTGATGGTGGAGGAGGGAAGCAAGTACAAGAAATCCGGGGAGGGGAGAAGGAGGCTCCATCCTGAGGGGTGTCTGAGGCCTGGGTGACAGAGCTGTCCCTGCGAGCTGTTCCTGTGTGCAGGTGGCTTCAGGACACAGCCCCAGTGATGTGAGAGATGTCTTCAGGTCTGTGGATGGCTCATCTGTGCAGATGTGGGTCCCCCAGCTGTCAGGGTGGTGTGCACATGTTGTGTGTGACCCCTGTGTGGTGAGAGGAGGGTGATTGGCGTGTCCTGGGGCAGAACAGGGGGTATAAAAAGGACCAGGGGACACTTACAGTGACAGACTGTAAGTCATGCAGTTGTGGCACGGACCACAGCCTGACACATGGAAGTGGATTGTGCTCCAAACCCTCAGGCCTTCCTTGACTGGCTGATTGTCACAGAATCACTGAATCATTGAGGCTGGAAAATCCTCTCAGACCATCCAGTCCAACCATTCCCCTGGCAGTGCCATGGCCCCCCCCAGCCCGTGTTCCCCAGTGCCACATCCACGTAGCTTTTAAATCTCTCCAGGAATGGTGACCACTGCTCTGCACCAGGGCTGGACAGCTGATTCAGGGAAGAAGTATTTTCAGTATCAAACCTGAACCTCCCCTGGTGCAACAAGAGGCCATTTCCTCTTGTCATATCCTGATGGCCTAGAGTACCTTGTCCAGGTGGTAGGTGGGAAGCTTTCCCACATGCTGAGAGTGCAGGCAGAGGACACAAGCCTGCTCTGGAGTGTGGACATGTATGGCCTCTTTGCCTGCCAGGCACTGCCCTCCTCATCCTTAATTAATCTGTGCAGGAGGAAGCTGCTTCAGCTCAGCTGATGAGGCAGGAGAGAGGCTGGGGGCTGAGTGAAAGTGCTGCTCCAGACAGGTGTTCAGAGTCACGGCAGGGTGTTCCACTGAACAAGAGGTGTGTGTTCACTGAGGTGGTGCTCACTTGAAGAGCTGGTGTGTACAGGTCTGGCACAGGCTGGCAAAGGAACACAGGGGTCATCTTCTCCTGACACTGTGACCTTGGCTCCAGGAGGATCAGAGGGACCACGCCCCTCCAAGATCTGCATCTCAGTAACTCCTGGGCAATTGTGAAGGAAGGGAGACTCCAGCTGCACTGTGTAAAGTGGTGCTCGCACCCTGGCATGGTGCTGAGTGGAGACAGGGTGGGTGCAGGCAGTGTGCTGGGCTGTGCTGGGACCCCTGGGCTGTGCTGGGACCCCTGTTCTGTTCCAGGACCCCTGTTCTGTTCCAGGACCCCTGTTCTGTTCCAGGACCCCTGTTCTGTTCCAGGACCCCTGTTCTGTTCCAGGACCCCTGTTCTGTTCCAGGACCCCTGTTCTGTTCCAGGACCCCTGTTCTGTTCCAGGACCCCTGTTCTGTTCCAGGACCCCTGTTCTGTTCCAGGACCCCTGTTCTGTTCCAGGACCCCTGTTCTGTTCCAGGACCCCTGTTCTGTTCCAGGACCCCTGTTCTGTTCCAGGACCCCTGTTCTGTTCCAGGACCCCTGTTCTGTTCCAGGACCCCTGTTCTGTTCCAGGACCCCTGTTCTGTTCCAGGACCCCTGTTCTGTTCCAGGACCCCTGTTCTGTTCCAGGACCCCTGTTCTGTTCCAGGACCCCTGTTCTGTTCCAGGACCCCTGTTCTGTTCCAGGACCCCTGTTCTGTTCCAGGACCCCTGTTCTGTTCCAGGACCCCTGTTCTGTTCCAGGACCCCTGTTCTGTTCCAGGACCCCTGTTCTGTTCCAGGACCCCTGTTCTGTTCCAGGACCCCTGTTCTGTTCCAGGACCCCTGTTCTGTTCCAGGACCCCTGTTCTGTTCCAGGACCCCTGTTCTGTTCCAGGACCCCTGTTCTGTTCCAGGACCCCTGTTCTGTTCCAGGACCCCTGTTCTGTTCCAGGACCCCTGTTCTGTTCCAGGACCCCTGTTCTGTTCCAGGACCCCTGTTCTGTTCCAGGACCCCTGTTCTGTTCCAGGACCCCTGTTCTGTCAGTGCCACACGTGCCAGGTGGGTCACCAGGACCTGTGGGTGGCCTGGCTGACATTCAGGCCTGGCAGATGCTGGAGCCAGCGGGCAGGCACGCAGGGGTGCCTGCTGTTGGGGTAAGGTGTGCTAGTGGGAGCGAGGAGCGGGGTGTGTTGTGTGGCTGAATACAGTCCTGCTGACCTTGTATTGTCAGTGTTCATTGAGGTTTACTCTGGGGCTTTCTCAGCAAGTGGACAATCAAAGTGTAGCACACTCTTGAACCTGGGTGAAAAAACGGACGAGGATCTGTTGGGACAGTTGGTGTGGGAGGCAGCTGGCAGCTGTTGGGGCAGCTTGTCCTGGTCATCCTTGGGCAGATCCAGAGCAAGCCCAGCTGGCTCCCTCCGGGGCTCTCCCTGCCCCTCCTTGTTCCCAAGGCCCACCACCGAGTGTGTGTGCCTTGTGCTCCACTCAGAACCTGCCAAAACCCCGCTGTGTGCAGAGAAACAGCTCGAGTGTGCACTGCCTGCTCCCACCAGGGAATGCTGCGGACAGAGAAGGCCTGGATGGTGCTTTGTCTGTCACGTTACCTGCCAAAGAAGCTGAGCAGGGCAGAAGTCCCAAGTGGAGGCGACAGCTTTTTTTAGACCCAGTGATGCAGTTGGAAATACAGGTGTGCTGTTAACCTTTTGGAAAGGGCTCAAAAATGTATCATTTTCCTCCTGACTGATGAATTGTATTAATAAAAACATTACCTCTGCCTAAAAAAGGAAAGGGCAGGTGAAAGACGCCACAGAGAAACAATTTCCTCAGGATAGCTATAAATAACCTGGTGTTCCTGCACCAGACTTGGGGATTATTTGTCCATAACTCGTGGAAAAGGAGTGTTCCTAAGTCAGCCAAGGAAGGTAATCTGCAGGTAGGAGCACCACGTTCACACCTTTCTTGAACATGATGGATGAATGTTGTGGCCTGTGGGTGCTGGTGGCTGCACAGAAGGGTGGCAAGAGCACAGTGCCGGGTCCTGGTTTGTTGCTTTGTGCTCTCTGAGCAGCTTAGCCAGCCCTCTGTCAGGGGGAGCAGGAGTGGGCTCTTCCCCATGGCTTTGGGCTGTCCAGTGAGGTGAGAGAGGGCAGAGGAAGCTTTAGCCTGGAGATGGAGGTTGTTTGTCCAATCTCCCCCAAGGAGTTACTAGGGCTGGGACATGAGTTGGGGTAAGGGCAGGCGCTGGTGGGCTCTGGCAGGCTCTGGAGTGCTGCCCACAACACAAGATAGAGGCTCCCAGGGACGGAGCCCCTCTGCTCTGGAGCCAGGTTGGGACAGCTGGGAATGTTCCCCTGGAGAGGAGAGCACCCCAGGGAGAGCTCAGAGCCCCTTCCAATACCTGGAGGGCTCCAGGAAAGCTGGAGAGGGACTTTGGATAAGGCATGGAGGGAGAGAAAAGGGAGAATGCCTTCCCACTGCCAGAGGGCAGAGATAGATGGGGTATTGGGAAGGAATTGTTTCCTGTGAGGGTGGTTTGGGGACTGCTGGAGCAGGCACTAGGAGTTGTGATTGTGGGCTTGGGGCTGCTGGGGGAGGTCTGGAGCCACCCTCCCTGTGGCCTCAGGTGACACTGGAGCAGTGGCAATGCCCAGGTCACCGTGTTTGGTTGCTGTCTGCTTTTGGGTCTGGTGGATTTGCTGCTTCCCTTTTGAGCCCATCTGAGATTCCCATTCCTGTGATAGTCTGTGGCCACAGATCTGGCAGGTTTGTTACAGGCTCCTGAAGATGCAGAGCTCCCACACGTTTCTGGTCTCCAAAAATCCTTGCTGTTTGTGTGTGATAAACACGCAGGAGGTGCTGCTCCTATGGGTCCTGCCCTGGAGCTGGTGTTGGATGGAAGGTCTGACCTCCCCAAGGCGAGTGAGGGACTGAGGTTTGTCAGGAGGGGCTGCTGGCTGCTTGTGGAACTCAAACCTGTTACAGGCTCCTGCTCCTCTTCCAGATGCTCTGTGGCAGGGTGGGGGTGTTTCCTCAAGCCATTCTGGATTGCCACAGCCTCTGTAAGCCTATTGCAGCATGCTGCCAGTTCCATAATATGCAACAATAAATTGTGTTTGTGTTCAGTCAGGAGCGTGGCTGCAATCCTGGCAGCAGCTCCCCCGCTGCTCAGCCTGCAGGGCTCGGGGTGCTGCCACACGCCCTCAGCTCTGGGCTCTTGTGCAGCTGCTGCTCCCCAAAAGGATGGCTGGTCCCTGGTGCTTCCCTTGTTCTCTGTGCCTTGGGGCAGGGGATGCTGAGGGCGTTTTTGTGCTCCTGCAAGGTTGAAGGGAGGGTTCCAGCCAGTGGTACCTGGCCTCTTTGCTGCCATACTGCTCCTGCCCTTGGCTCAGCTGCTCCTGCTCCTCCCCGTGTGGGGCTCGGGCTGTGCTGGGTGCTCGTGCAGCTGTGTCTCTGGAGCAGAAGAGCAGGAAGAGCCATATATCTGTCTGGAGGGAGCAGGGAGAGTGTAGCAGGATCCTTGCTGGGATCTTGAGTGTAACCTGATGATTTCTTCCCTCTGTCTGCAGATTCATTTGTGAACAGCCAGGAATGGACCCTGAGTCGCTCGGTACCTGAGCTGAAGGTGGTAAGTACTTGTGGCTTGTGCCTGGGACACCCCTGGTTCCCCAAACCAGCAAGAAAATGCTGCATTTTTGTGTGGCCAGGTGGAAACACACAGAGGCTTCAGCCTCAGAAGGGAGAGGGGAGCTGGGGCTGCCGCCGTGCCAGGGAAGGACAGGGGTTTCTCAGCAGCTCATCCTCTGAGGGGTGAGCCAGAGGTTGTTGATCTGTGAGAGCACTTGGATGAGAAGGTGAAAAGACACCATCTGAGCTGCTCAGCCTCGCTGCTGGCCTGGCAGAGCTGTGATGCTGTCTGGGTGCTGCTCCTCAAGCTGCTGTAGCAGAAGGAGGTGCAGATCCCAGCTGGTGGTTCAGGTACAGGCCCCTGGCAGTCACCCCTGGAGCAGCTGTCCTGGGATGGGAGCTGTCACTGCTCCTTCAGAGCCTCACTGATCTCAGCTCTGTGCTGGTGCTCCCCTGCCTCTGCCAAGGTGTCCCTGCCCTGCCGGGGTGCTGGAGGGTGACACAGTCCTGCCAGACTTGAGGGATGAGGCTCCCCGGGTCTGTCAGCGCAGGGTGGGTTTCCCCAGGTCATGCCATTGCAAGGCTTCACCATCTTCCTGTGGGATGTGGTCTCTGTGGTCAGGGGGCTGCCCTGACCCTCTTGCCCCAGCACAGCCCCTCCAGTGGGACAGGGTCAGTGCTGTGGGCTCGGGGGAGCCAGGAGGCGGTGTCGGGGTGGGCAGGATGCTGCAGGTGCTGCAGTTCCTCCCTCTGCTCTTCCTGTGCTCTCTGTGCCAGTCCTCAGCTCCCCTTACAGGCTCCTGCCATGTGCCCTTCAGTTTTTATTCCCCTCAGCTTTTGTGAGATTAACTTTCTTCAATATTACTTGAAAAAACAAAAGAAGAAAATTCTTTGTGTAAAACATTTCCAGCACCGTCCTGCCACAGTGTCTCTTACCTGCAGTTAAGTGAAAATCAAACCAAACTTCATATATTCATTTGTTCATTTACCTCTGAAGTGCATTTTTAAAAACACTCTCAGAGTTGTTTGGGTGTTGCTGCCTGATGTTGAGGCCCTGCAAGGCTGTGAAGCCATGCTGCCACCTAAACCATCCTATTGCTTTTCGTTCTTCCTCAAGTAGCACAGCCCTTTCCCCAGGTTTTGCATGACCTCTGGGGATCTCTGTTGCTCCTGGATTTGATCCAGCCAAAGCAGCTCTTCTAAAAGTCTGGAGGCCTTTTAGAGTCCTAGTTTAGAGTGACAGAATCATTTGGGTTGGAAAAGCCTTTGGAGATCACTGAGTCCAGCTGCTTCCCCAGCACTGCCAAGGCCATCACTGGCTGTGTCTCCAGGTGCCACATTCACAGGGCTTTTAAACCTCTGCAGGGATGGGGACTCCACCCCTGCCCTGGACAGCTGTGCCAGGGCTGGGCAGCCCTAACAAAGGAAGGAATTTTCAAACACCCAACCTGAGCCTGCCTGGCCCAGCCTGAGGCCGTTCCCTCTCCTCCTGTCCCTGTTCCCTGGGAGCAGAGCCCGACCCCCCCGGCTGTCCCCTCCTGCCAGGGACTTGTGCAGAGCCAGAAATTCCCCCTGAGCCTCCTTTGCTCCAGGCTGAGCCCCTTCCCAGCTCCCTCAGGAATTCTCCAGCCCTTTCCCAGCTCCCTCAGCCCCTCCTGGTGCTCCAGCCCCTTCCCAGCTCTGTTCCCTGGACACTCTCCAGCCCCTCAGGGTCCTTCTTGTCATGAGTGCCCCAACACTGACCCCAGCAAGAAATGTTTCCAAGTTTCAATTCCTTCCCATTTTCAAGCAATTCTGTCTCCTCTGTCTCTCCTGCAGGAGTTGAGGGTCTCGCTGCTCTCCCTGCTTGTGTTCCCAAGCATTCAGGATGCTTTCTCCAAAGTCTTTGAATAATTTGATGTATTTAAGATACGTTCAGCAGTTTTCCCTCCCTCAGTTTGCCCCCAAAAGCTCCCTCCCAGTGCTGAAGGCCAGGAGGAAGCTGTGACTGAGCAGTTTTTGCAGAGGGGCACTGACAGTGCCTCCTGGCAGGACTTGTCCCCTGGACCTGGCACTGGGCAGTGCCGGCACAGAGCTGACTGCGTTCCCACATTCTCCCAAAAATCATGGAACAGAGGCTCCCACAGTGCTTACACACCTTGTATGGCTCTAGTTTGCTGCCTCTCAGGGGCTGTGCTCCTCAGGATTGTCAGTTCTGTGGTTGGCTTGAAGCTCCAGGTGAGCTCAAGGACACGGCAGAGCAGCCAGATTTTGGTGAGATACAGGTCAGGGTTTGTACTGTGTGCAAACAAAGTGTAACTGCAGCCTCTGTCCAAGTTTTAGAGCTAAATGCCATTGGAGTGTTTATCTTTGGTGTGGTGTGGCACCCTTGGAGCCAGATGGCCTCAGGAACCGCTTGGAGCCATGGCCAGCCTGGCACTGAAGCCCTGAGCCCAGAGCTGAGCTCTCAGAGTTTCTCCTGTGAAACCTTTAGTGCTCCCACCTGGAGAGCTGTGTCCATGTCAGAGCCCCCACCAAAACATAGAGATGGACCTGGAGTGAGTCCAGAGGAGGCCATGCAGATGCTCTGAAGGCTGAAACCCCTCTGGAGCCAGGCTGGGAGAGCTGGGGGCGTTCAGCCTGGAGAAGAGAAGGCTCTGGAGACACTAGATCGCTTTCAGTGCTTGAAGGGGCTCCAGGAAAGCTGGAGAGAGATTTGGGATAAGAGCCTGGAGTGACAGGACAAAGGGGAATGGCTTCCCATGGACAGAGTGCAGGGTTAGATGGAATATTGGGAAAGAATTCATCCCTGTGAGACTGGTGAGGCCCTGGCACAGGTTGCCCAGAGAAGCTGCCCCTGGATCCCTGGAAGTGTCCAAGGCCAGGCTGGATGGGGTTTGGAGCAATCTGGGATAGTGGAAGGTGTCCCTGTCCATGGCAGGGGTGCAGCGAGCTGGGCTTGAAGGTCCCTTCCAGCACAAACCATTGTGGGATTCCGTGATTGTGTGATTCTCCTGGTTAGACTGCAGAGCAGGCAGGGCTCAGGCAGGGGATGGGCTGTTCCCATCTCCATGAGCTGGTGCAGCCCCTGGCCCAGCGTGGCTCCAGGGACGCGTGCGCAGGACCGGGCAGGGCTGCAGCCCAGCCGTGTTCTCGGTGTTGTTGCCTGTGTGAAGGCACTGTCAGCATCTGTAGTTGCTCTGAGGGGTGGCAGATGTGGCAGTGGTGAGAGCAGCCCCTGGGAGCCCATTGATCAGTGCTCCTGGTACAAGTGCTGGCTCCGTCGGTACAAGAGGAGCTGGCGCGCAGGGTGCTGTCCTGTGCTCTGTGCCACGGAGAGGGGCCACTCTTCCTCGTGGGGGACATGTGCATGGCCCAGGGCAGGACCCTTGGCAGCACCCAGGGCAGCAGGAGCATTTGAGTGCCTGGCTGGGAGCTGGAGAACCTGCCTGGTGGTGACTCACCTGCCAAGCTCATCCCTGTGCCTGGAACAGTTTGGCTGTAAACTTCCATGGTGGCAGAGGCAGCTTCAGTGTTCGTAGCCACTCCTCACCCCACGTCTTCCAGCACTGGTGTGGCCACATGAGTGTACAGAATCACAGAACCATTAAGGCTGGAAAAGCCCTTTAAGGTCATCAAGTCCAACCATCAACCAGCACCACCACCATGTTCATCACTAAACTATATTCTCAAGTGCCACGTCCACATTCTTGGAACACTTGGAGGAGGTTACTTGGTTCACCTTCAGCTGAAAGTGACCCCTTCCCTTTTTGTGGGAAAGGGATACTTGATGTCCAACCTAGACCTCCCCTGATGAAATGTGAGGATATTACCTCTTGTCCTGTTGTTAGTTACTTGGGAGCAGAGCCCAATGCCCACCTGACTGCACCCTCCTGTCAGGGAGTTGTGGAATGAGAAGGTTCCCCCTGAGCTTCCTTTCTCCAGGCTGAGCCCCTCCTGCTCCTTCAGCCAGTTCTCATCAGACTTGTGCTCCAGATCCTTCTGTACACACCTGGTCCCACAATTAAGCAGGATTTAGTGGTCAGGAGGACCCTGGCAACGAGCAGAGCTGGGCTCTGACTGACCCATCCCAGGACACCCACCTGCATTTCATAGCCAGCCTGAGGGTGCTGCAGTCAGATCTGCTTCCACCTAATCAAATTCGGTGCTCGGTAGCTTTATCCTTTGGCTTGGCTGAACATTGGTGCTGGGTGTTCCTGTGTGGGCAGCACCGTTGGCTCCTCTGGGAGACACACGTAGAGCTGCTGTGGTGCTGCTGCCTTGGGCATGAGCACAGGCTGGGCTCCCACCCTGCAGCTGGTCTCTGCTCCCCTTCTACTGGCAGCTGCTGTCCAGAGCTGCAGCACCCTAAAACTGGGCGTGTGTGGGCTGGGAGAAGAGCTTTTCTCCTTCTGAATTGACGTGGGACAGCAAGAGTTCTCCGAGGGGCAGAAAGGCTGTGGGAAGAGCTGAGGTGGCTCTGACATTGCTGGGCCTGTTCAGGGGAGGTCAAGAGTACTCACTGCTCTCTGTCCAGTTGGCTGTGCCCCAGTCTCAGCTGCTCTGTGCCTGACTGAGCCCAGTTAGTCCCCTGGCCTCCCACCAAAAGCTGGGCTGGGTCACATCATCCCCGTGTCCTCTCAGGGACACCTCTGCCTCTCATCAGCGTGTGCCCCAGCACTGGTGGTGTCACCTCATGGGGGTGGCCTCGTGTACAGGGACTTGTGCTGGGCACACAGGTGATGTGTGCATCCGTTCCAGGGCATCGTGGGGAACCTGTCCAGTGGCAAGTCTGCCCTGGTGCACCGCTACCTGACCGGCACCTACGTGCAGGAGGAGTCTCCAGAGGGTAAGGTCTGGTTCTTGGGGTGCCTGGGGGTGGACTGGGTCCTCACTCCTCTCCCTGGTGCTGAAGGTGATCCCAGTCCCTGCACCTTCTCCACCACTGCCATGGGGCTCTGCTGCTCCCCCAGCCCTCGTTTGGGGTGTCCCCTGCTTGCACCCCCTTACTGACCGGCAGCTTTGCCCCCCCAAGGTGGCCGCTTTAAGAAGGAGATCGTGGTGGATGGTCAGAGCTACTTGCTGCTGATTCGAGATGAAGGGGGCCCCCCTGAGCTCCAGGTAGGAGATCTGTCCTCCCTGTGGCCCCTTCCCAGCTGTGCTGTTGGAGGGACTGGGGGAGGTGTGTGCTGGCTGAGCCCGGTGCGTGGCTGCCCTTGCCGGCTGCTCCGGGCTCGGGTCTCCAGCTGCTCGTCCGCGCTGTAATCCTGCTGCGTCTCCTCAGTTTGCTGCCTGGGTGGATGCAGTGGTGTTTGTCTTCAGCCTGGAGGATGAGATCAGCTTCCAGACCGTCTACAACTACTACCTGCGGCTCTGCAGCTACCGGAACACAGCGGAGGTGCCGATGGTGCTGGTGGGCACGCAGGGTGAGCGGTGCCGGAGCTTCCCCCACACCCCCAGCCTCAGGCGGGAGCCCAGGCCAGCCCCGTGAGCACCGTGGGTGATCCTGGTCCCTGAGCCTTCCGTGGGGCTGAAGGATGATGCTGAGACCCCAGCCCAGGGTGCTGAGAAGGGAGTTCCTGCTCACACCATCTCGGCTTCCCCACAGAGAGCTGCCTCGTTCCATGGGGCTGCTTTCCTCTTGGGAATGGCACGATTCTCTGGTGCTGCCTCCCCTAACTCTGCCAGCACAGGCAGGAAGGAACCCGGGGTGAAGAGTTTTCTGTGTGACAGTAGAGAGCAGGAGCAGGACATGGATGTAGGGAAAAACTCTCCTGGCAGGACAGTTCCTGAGCACTGTGTGACCTGTTCCTGGCCAGGAAGAAGCTCTGAGGCCAGGAAGACAGGCAGGAGCACTGGGAGGGAGTCACAGGGGGTCTGCTCCAGACCCCCATATTAAAAGCAGAGCAAAATCGTTAAACTTTGGATATTTAGAGATCGTGGCATGAATTTTAGGACTGAGTGATCGTGGCTCAGGAGTGGGGTGGCAGCACTGTGGACGCACAGGAGTGGGCAGGTAACGGGGTCAGTGCCCATTGTTCCAGACCAGGTGAGGTCCTAGACTTGATACAGGCACAAAACCATCTGGAGAGCTCGAGAAGGGCTTCCTCACAGTGCAGGTCCCAATTCTTCTGCCCCACCCGAGAAGGTTTGTTCACAGCCCCCACTTGTCCCTGGCTTCGAGGAGTTGGATTCCTCTTCGAAAGGAGGTTTATCCAGAACAGGCAAGCACTTGGTGACTATCTGGGATACAAATTGAGCCTGTATTTTACAGCTGTCCAGGAATTCCTTGGCTGTGGAGACACCCCAGCAGAGTTGACTTCCTCATTAAACCAGGAGGATTTCTCCCTTGGATTCTTTAACATGTAGGGCTTGGCCATGAGCCCTAAAATAGTGGAGACTGACAAATGTGTTTTTATTTGGCAGCTGGGGCTGCCTGGCCTTGGTCCCCACCCCTCCCAGAGGTGTTCTGCCACTGAAATGTCAGTGGCTGGGTGGTTTAGGAAATTGAGTCTGGTTCATTTACGGAGATTCATCCATTTTTCTACGAACGTGGGACTTACGACACAAGCATTTATGGGGACAGTGCTATGGAGGGGGTTCCTCTCTGTGAAGAGAGGGAGGCCAGAAGTGTCATGGGACCAGTGGATAGGTGGGACAGGGTCCTTGTCTTTCAACCTCTTGTCCCTTTGGTTTGCAGATGCCATCAGTGCCACCAACCCCCGCGTCATCGACGACTCCCGGGCACGGAAGCTCTCCAATGATTTGAAGCGCTGCACTTACTACGAGACCTGTGCTACCTACGGCCTGAATGTGGAGAGGGTCTTCCAGGACGGTACCTGCAGCCATGTTGGGGTGCCTGGGCAGGACAGGGCAGCAGTGTGGTCTCACAGAGGAGTTTGTGCTGCCCTTGCAGTAGGAAAGCAGCACCTAAACTGGATGGGGCAGCTGTTGCTCATGGGAACAAGTGTGAGGGAGCATTCCTGCTTAGGCTTGGAGAGGGGTCTGCAGCACAGTGATGCTGAGGGGCACAGGAAACCTGCACCACCTCCTGGGAGTTTGCCATCTGCTTAAATAAACTGTGGCCTTACCCTAAAGGGGATTGTGTGTTCCCTCTAGGGGAACAGGGAACAGGACAGGACAAGGGGGAATGGCCTGAATGCTGATGGGATGAGGTGTTTCTGGAGTGTGGGTAAGTGATTCTTCCTAGTGAGCACTGGTGGGTCATGATGCAGCTGGTTTGGCATCTGCTGGATCCTGGTGCAGCTGGTTTGGGGTCTTGTGGAGTCCTGGCAGTCACAGACTCTGTGATGACCTTGCCTCACATGGCAATCCAGTTTCCATCAGACCTTGTCTTTATATGACTTCTTCCACACAAGCTGCCAGCCCAGATCCCAGCAGACCTACCCTGGGCAGGCTGGGGAGGATGTCTGCTTCCCACAGCAGGAGCAGGAAGAGCCGCCCTCAGAGGTTGCTGCTTGCCTGTGCTGTGTGGAGTGTGTGCTGCAGCTCTGTTTCTGGAGAGCCCTTCCCTGCCCCTGTCCTGGGTGGTGTCCACAAGCAGTGGCTGCTGGCCGTTTTGGGGAGCAGGGCAATGTGCTGGCACGGGAGCCTGAGGCAGTGAGCGCCCTGTCCCTGGGTGTTCACAGACCGCTCTTCCCACACACACACGTGGTGCTGCAGGCTGGGGGGGATGCTCCAAGACACAAAAACTGGCATCTCCCTCTTCACCAGCTGCACGGGGATTCTCCAAGAGCTGGCTGGCCCTGGCTGTTGTGCCACCACAGTGCAGGCAGGAGCAGCAGAGACCCTGTTCCTCAGAGTGGGTCTTGGTGTCGGGTCTGTAGCCTGGAGCTGTGTGTGGTTGAGCTGTGCTGTGTCTGGACTGAGCATGTTGCAGTGTGTACCTGATGCTGCTGGGACATTTGTGGCTGAGGCTGTGTCTGGGCAGCCAGGCTGCTGAAGGTCACCATGAGAAAGACACGTGGCAGGAGAACAGGGGTCACTTCCCCCTTGCTGGTTTCTCATTTGCTGGCAGAATTCCCCCTGGAGGTGCTGCTCACTCTGTGGGAATTGTGCTCCTCCATCCTTCCCCAGTCCACAGATGTCACAGTGACTTCTGATAGGATGGGATCTTGGTATTGCCAGGAGGTGGCCCTGGCACAAGCAGGGACAGTGCCCTAGGCTGGGCTGTGTCCTGCAGTGTGTGCTTCAGGACTCCCTGAAGGCGAGGTTTGCGTGGTCCCCTCATGGCAGAGCCCTGCTGAGGTGGGAGCTGGTATGGAATGTGCCTTCTGTCCTCTTGGCTCCAGAGAGGTCTGATTAAAGAATTTATTCTCAGGATTGCCAGTTCCTGTTTGCAGAAATCTGGGGTTCAGATTCAGTAGATGTCAGGACAGTTTGCAAGGAGCCATCGGTGTGGGGGGTCTCAATTCTTGGGCTTCATTTTAAGGGTGTTTCTGTACCAAGAAAAGGTCAGGGAGCGCCTAGCCATGGTCACCTTGGCGGTGTTCCTGAGGAGGACTGACTGACCCAGCAGCTGTGCTGCCCTGGGCTGTGGGTGACTTCTTGAGCTTCACCTGTGCTGCAGATCCCAAGTGCATGGTCCTGCCTTTCCTCTGCCCTGAGCACTGGGGAGGGCAGGAGAGGACAGCCAGCAGCTCCATAGCCCAGGAGCTGTGGCTGAGGTGCTGGTGGCATTGCTGCTCTCCATTGTCCCCCTCAAACACGGGGAACATCCAGCACGAGCCCCCAGGGAGGCTCTGGATCCCCTGCCCAGGGGACATCTCCCATCCCAGTGCTGGCTGGGCACACTGTGAGCTCCGACCCCCCAGGGGCCAGGAAATACCCAGGAAAAGCCCTCAGGCACTGCTGTTGTGGGCAGGGAGCCTGGCAGAGGCTCTGCCCATCATCTGTTCCGCACCACTGCCGCTAATGAGAAATTAACTGTGGGGCCAATGAGGCCACACTGGAGGGACAACATCTCCCCAGTCCTGAAATGAGGCACCTTGAGGTGACCTTTACCTTTCTGTGTGCTGGGCCCAGAGTCTCCTCTACCTCCTGAACAGTCAGACTTTTCTGGGCTAGTTTCTGCCATCCCTTACACCAATCTTTGTTCCAGTTTCTCTGGTTGACACTCACAGCTCTGCTGTACAACCAGTGAGGTGTGCCCTGCCCGCAGAGCCTGAGCAGCCCCACTGCCCAGTGCTGCTGTGAGTACCAGCACCTGAGTATCACTGTGTTTCAGAGCAAACCCAGCAGTCCAAGTCTGGACAGAGGAAGAGCATGCAAAGGTCCCTAGTGACCCACCAGGGATTCTACAGAGAACTCCTCAGGGTGTCACCTTACAGACCCACAAGGCCCAGACTGATGGAGGTGGCATTTGCCAAGGCAGCTCTGTCCAGTACCTGGCTCCTGGAGTTGCCATGAGGGGTGACTGAGAAGTGCTGGACTGCCCAGGGATTGTCCTGCAGCCTGTAGCTCATAGCAGACCAGGGCTCGTAGTGTCTCCGTGATGTCCATGGCAGAGAGCTGCTGTTCTTTGTGATGCCCGAGAGGGCAGGTGGCCTCTGGGGACGCAGCCTGAGCAGTGCAGGGAAGGGCCTGGGTCTCACTGAAGCCCTCCAGAAATCTGTGGGTGGAGGAAGCTGCTTTCTGAACTCTGACCCTGTCCCTTTCTCCCTTTTCCAGTGGCTCAGAAGGTGGTGGCTCTCCGGAAGAAGCACCAGCTGTCCATCGGCCCCTGCAAGTCCCTGCCCAACTCACCCAGCCACTCATCTGTTTCCGCAGCCTCCATTCCTTCTGTCCACATCAACCAGGTGGGGAATGGGAATGGGGAAAGCCAAGGACTTCTTGTGCTCTCGCCACCCTCAGCTCAGTACCCAAGAGTTCAGGCTCAGACTTGCACTGCTGCTCTGGGCTGGCTCGTTGGAAGAGCAGAGTGCTGTCACCCTGCTACTTCTGGCATAGCCCAGGGGAGCTGTGGCTGCCCCGTCTCTGGAAGTGTCCGAGGCCAGGTTGGAGCAGTGGGGCTTGGAGCAGCTGGGTCTAGGGGAGGATGTCCCTGCCCATGGCAGGAGGTGGAGTGAGATATACTTGAAGGTCCCTTCCAATCCAAAGCACTCCATGAGTTTATGATTGTGTGACAGTTTGCTTGCCTTGAGGTCAAGTTTCATGTCTAAGCCTTTGGGTCTGGCCCAGGGCTCCAGAGCGTGTCGTGCTTTGGCAGACACGCAGCAGAGCCATGAGCAGTGTGTGGGGAGCTCTTGGGCAGCACAGTGTGTGTGTGAGAGGGTGATGCTCTGGCTGCCCCAGCTGGGCTGCTCAGGTCCTGCTTCCCCTGGACTCGGGAAGCTGATGGTCTGTGTGCACATGCATCTGAGGGCTTCTGAGAGGATGGACCTGTGGAAAGGTGGGTTCAGTGGTGATATGAAGGAGCAGAACAGGGAAGGAGGTTCCCTCCGCTCTGCCACAGGAAGGGCTCTGTGCTGTTGGTAATGGTTGCCAAGGTCTTGGTGTGGGGAAGATAGTGATGTAGGTGTTTGTTCTGTGGTCCTGGAGCAGAGCTGAGGGCAGGACAAGCTCCATGCTGAGGGGCTGGGGAAGGAGAGCCTTTGGGCAACCACCTCACTGCATTCAAGCTTTGCTACATCCCCAGTGCCCGCAGAAATACTGGCCGGGTGACTGGTGAGGAAGAAAGGAGAGATCCTGGGCTCCATTGCTCCCCAGGCAACAGATTCCACCTCTGGAGCAACGGGTGTACGGAATCACAGGAGCTGTGACCGGGGCTGCAGGAAGGCTGCCTGTGACTGAGGGACAGCACATGTAGCTGATGAGCTTTTGTTAATGGGATTGCCTTTGAAACTCTGTGTGTCAGAACCTCCTGGGCCCACCACGGGAGCCTGTCCCTGCACAGACCTGAGCCATATCTGCAGCCACCAGCTACCTGGTTGTAGAGGCTTCTAAAGCTGGATTGCAAGTAGGTGAGTGCAGGTTTTTGCAGAGACCTGTGCCAGCTTCCTGGTGCTCCAGGTCACCGGGACACCAGCAAGTTCAGGTAAAGTCTGTGTGGCTGCTGGGGAAGGCTGCGAAGCCAGGTTCTGTCATAGTGTGCTTGTGTCCAGAAAGCTGGGGACAAGTTCAGTGGGAGACATCCAAGGTGGAGAGCAAAGTCCTAGGGAAATACAGATTTGAGTGTCTCTGGTAATTTGAGGGTTTTATTAGCAAACTCTGTACAGTATGAGCCTGGTTGGGAAGGAGCGGCCGCGTATCCTGGGAAGGAAGCAAGAGGCTGATGGCCAAAGTCAGCATTTCTGAGGGGAGCTGGACACTTGTTTAGTGTTTTATTTCATGTTCAAAGTGTGAGAAGAGTTCCAATAAATATGTGTCCTTGGCACTGGCTGTGCCAGGCAGGCAGTGTGTTTACCATGAAGCTGAAAAGCGTTCCCTGTGCTGTCAGACCCTCTGGGTTCCCCAGTCTGAATCCAGTCACTCATGTGACTGCATGGAACCTGAAGGAGTAGCAAAAATGTGTGGGAGGAAAGAGACCCCAAAGTATGGGGAAAGTAAGCACTTGACTGAGTTGGCTGAGGAATGAGTGCAGAGATAGGCCAAACCTGACCTAAAATACACAGGTGTAACGTAGAAGAGCTCCTTAAGGAAATGTGGCACTCAACAAAAAAGGTGGATTTAGGACTGACTGTGGGGAAGCAAATTTTGGAAGAATTTTCTAACTGCATGTCATGAGCTTTGTGAGGTGATTGCTCAGAGCTGCCCCTGCTTTCCTCTCCTTCCCTTCCCACAGAGCAGCTCTCAGCACGGCTTGCAGACGACGTCTGTGTAGAGGTGAATTCTGGCCGCCTGCTCAGGGACAGACCTTTGCTCTCTGTGCCTTGCTGTGCTCCTGGCTTGGCTGGAGGGACGTAGGGAGCTGTGGTGGGAAGCAGAGCTGTGAAGGGAAGTAACGCAGCGTGCAGCTCACAGGGATTGCGGCTTGTGCCCCTCCCTGGACCTGCTCTGTGCCTGTCCAAGCCGTGCCCCTCCTGCCCTCAGCAGCCCTGGGCCCCACAAGGGTGATCAAAGTCCATTTGTGTTCCTGGGGTCTTGTGTGGTCCCACCACAGACCCTCTTGGTGCCAATGGCCCGTGCAGTCATCTTTGCCCTTCTCTCCCCCATTACTAAAGACACTTCTGAAAATAGTGAAGCAATGGTGAGTGATGCTAAAATGCCATGGAGTGTTTGTTCACCTGTCCTTGCATGGGCTCAGGAGTGAGATTCTGAAGCTGCTCCCCACCGCCCTCAGGGAAAATCCGTGTGGCTTTGGGAAACAAATTCACCCGTAAGTGATGGTTCTGACAGGGAACTGGGCAGAGCAGCCCACACACCCAGGTGTGTGCTCAGGCTGCCCAGGTGGGTACTGGGGAGCAGTGCCCTGGTGTCCCCTGCTCCTGGCCCAGCAGTCCGTGCTGGGGCAGCTCTGGGAGGGGGTGGACAGGCTCGCTCTGCCAGGAAGGACCAACGGGAGAGTGACGAGGTGTTTGTGGAGCAGAGCTGAACTCTGTCATGCCTCAGGGCCTGGGGCTCTCACCAGGGTTTCTCGTTTGCTTTTGCAAGTCAGAGAGCTGTAACTGACACAGAGAAAACAGGAAAAAGAGTTTAGGAGCACAGGACTTAACATGGAGATGAGGTGGAGAGAAGCCAGAGAAAAAACACAGTTAGGAGCTTTCGTTTGCCTTGTGCCACAGGTATCAGTGTGCACAGGTGTGACATGCACGTGGGACAGAAGGATTCCCTTCCAGTACTGCCTGGGAGGGGCAGGAGGAGTCTGGAACAGTGGGACTGGCATTTGGGGGACCGGATGAGGCCCTGGAACAACAGGATTGGCATTTAGGGGCAGGAGGAGCCCCTGGAACTGGGATTGGCAGTCCTGCTGTGGGCCTGGTCTGGCCCAAGCTGCGGGGAGCTTCCAGCTGCAAAGGCACTTTTCTTGGAATGGAAACAAGGGGGCCCCCTCAAAGGGCTTCTTATGGTAGGTAGAAGCTGGGACCCAGCCCTGTCCTGTCTCTTGTTCTGGGCACAACTCTTCTGGAAATAGCTTTACACTACTGGCTGAGCCAAACTAACTTTCTTGGAAATGGCCCCTGATTGTGTGGTCTGTCAGTTGGACCAGTCCTGCATGGTTACTGGGAGAGGAGGGACTCCAGAGGACCCTGGTGGTTTTGTTACCCATATGTCTGGAGGATTCTCTTCTCCTGGGACAGTGGTGCTGTGGATGTGTCCCGTTCTCCTTGCACAGTGGATGATTGTCTTGGGAACCAGCCAAATGCCCTAGTTTCCTTTCTGCCTTTGGGAGTTTGGGGCTTTTTCTCTTATTCTGCAGCAGTGCCTGGAGCCTGGAGGACATTGCTCCATCCATGGGGAGGGAGAGGGAGCTGTAGGAGCAGGTCAGCCCTGGTCAGTGTTTTCCACCAGCTCTCATGAGTCGCTAGATGTGCTCAGCGGGTCCGTGACCCTGCGTACTGTGTTCAGCATCAATCTGGTACGGCAGGAGCCAGGGCCAGCCCTGGACTCCTCCCTTGGGGACATAGATCTGTCCCTTTGGCCTTCCCAGTGGCTTGAGGTGTGTGGGTCTGCACCCGCTGGAGCAGGCACCTTGTACTCCCCAGAGCCCAGCAGCCCCAGGGAAAGCTCTTGCCTGCTGCCTTGGGCTGTCCTCTCTGTATCTGGCCCACACCTGCTGCTGAGAGAGCAGCTTGGATGGGTTTGGGAATCCCACTCCTCACTTGGCCCTGCCTCCCACCCTGCTCCCTCCTGGCAGCTCCCGGCCCTTGCCTACAGGGAGGGGATGGGAGTTTCTCAGGCCAGTGGGTGCTTGCAACACCTGCAGAGTTGTTCTACCTGATTTCCTCTCTTTTGCTGCCCCGTTCTCAGTCTTTCTTCAGGGCCTCTGGGATGCCTTTGGGAGTTCCCCAGGCTGTGGGTGAGTCACTGTTGTGTTTGCTGTGGGATGGCAGTTTGTCTTTCTGCCAAGAAACTGGTTCTCAGCAGCTGGAGGAGGTTACACAGGTACCTCCTGCAGGTACCTGACAGGCTGGTGGAGGGAGCTGGGTGCTCCCCTGGGCCTTGGGAGCTGCTGCCATCCCCGCTGTGCTCGGTATCATGGCTCTTCTCCGATGGCCTCGGTCTGCCTTCCTGCACGGGCTCTTTGGGGCCACTTGGAGGGCCTTCACCCAGACTTCAGTGAGAGATCAGATGAAGGAGGTGGAAAATCAAAGTTTGCAAGTGAAGTGAAGCCCCAAGGGCAGCTCACCTGAGCCGGTAACAGCGCTCACTGGCCTGCTGCGGCACGTTCCGTCAGAGCTCAGGAGCTGCAGCAGCAGGTGTTGGCATTTCCTCCTGGAAGCCCGTGTCCCGTTGCCTGCTCTGCTCCTGCCCACTTTCCATCGTCCATATGCTCCTCTGGCTTCTCCCTTCTTCCTGCAGACACCAGGTTGGTGTTTGCTCTTTGTGCTCTTCCACTCAGAGCCCTGCCCAAACTACCTTTTCTGTCTCAGACCTTGTTAGGCCAGGAATTACTGCCCTGAGCTCCAGCTGTGTTCTGCCCTTCCCAGGCACCCCATGGCACTGTTGATGGATGCTCCTCCACCGGGTACACGCTGATAGGAAGGATTTGTCCCACGGGTGTTCTGCTGTGTTCTCAGATTCCAGTGGTGACCACAGGCGGTTGTTCAGGTCCACCAGCAAAGTACCTGCCAATAGCAGACACATGGTACTGGCCCAGACCTGTCATCTTGTCAGGGTTCTCCTACATCCCTGAGATTTGTTCTGTGTCTCTGGATCCCACAGAAGTTCTGGAGCTCCCTGCTCCAGTGGAGCAGTTATGTCTCAGGATTGCCTGAGCCACTCTCTGTCTTTGAAGGATTTTCTCCTCCGCCCCGAAACTCGTCATAGCTTGCCTTCATAGCCTGGTGTGAGCCATCCTCCAGCCCCAGAGCCCTTCCTGAGGCTTGGTCTGTGGGACACGGGAGGCTCAAAGGCCAGTGTCCTTCGTCACTCAAGGACAGTAACCTTGGTTCCAGCACAAGGCAGACTTACAGGCTAAGGAAGGTTATTCTGGCCAGACAGAAATGACACACAGGACTGCAGGGAGTAAGTGAAATATAAACCAGGATGTAGCAGAATTTCTTCCTTGATGCTTTCGTGTCCATCACCTGCATCTACAGGGTTTGTTACAGCTGCTCTGGCAGGAGCTCAGACTCTGCAGCCTCCTCAGAACTGGCTTCTCCCCACAGTCACAGCATCGTGAACACGCTGCCAAGGTCACCGAGATATGCCAAGCATGGCCAGGAGCTGGTCTTGGAGGGGCAGCCATGCCCAGCTCACTGTTCCATGTGGCAGGTTGTCTGTGTTGCTGCACCCTCCTTCTCTTCCTAACACTTGGAATATTTCACTTTCTTTGACCTAGTTCACATATGGTGAATCAGCTGAACACAGACTGTGCCTGTGTGCACTCAGTGGCCCTGGCTCTCTGCAGCTCTTCCTTCATCACAGCACCTGCAAACTCCTGTGTGGCTGTTGGCTCTGGGATTGTCTCTGTTGAAGGCTCAGAAGTCACTGGCAGGTGACATGTTGCTTCGCCCCTTTGTGTCCCTGGTGGTCCCCCTTCCCTGGGACAGCAGAACCTTCTTGTCCAGCACAGGGTTCCTCACCCTGCAGAGGAGCTCCCAGGTAACATTCCCTTCTCTGGACAGAGTTCCTAGCCTCTTGTACTTGTGGAAAAGCACAACCAGACCAGGTTCCCTCTTGTTCTGTGTTGCAGGACTTCAGAATGGTTTCTGTTTCCAGACAGGCGGAGATTGTCAGAGCCACCCACCTGCTTACAGCATGGCGTTCTTTTCCTTGCTCTGCCTTCGTGAGGAGGAAGCTGAAATGCTGCTTGGGTGGCTTTTTCCTCTCTCAAGTTCTCATTGTGTGTTCTCCCACATCTCTTGTCCAAGCTGAGGGGATCCGTGGCTCGGTGAAGGTTGCACCTCTTTCTGAGACCGGGCTGTGGATCATGGTCACTGCTCTGCCTGTGCAGCCCCTTTCATACTTCTCTGAACTGCTTGTGTCAGAATAAGGCTCTGATCCCACTGGGGCTGGGGGTCTCTCATGGAGCCCCTGCAGCAGATCATCACCCTGTGTGGGCTCCATTCCCGCTCAGAGTGTAGGTGGGATGGAGGAAGTCACCGGGCCATTGAAGCCACCACTCTGCAAGCGTGGAGCTGGGAGGAGGAGGAGGAGGCTGTCTCTTCTGGGGTGCTGGAACTCACCTGCCCTTCCAGGGGCAGCTCCTCCACGTGTTTCTGAAATACTGTTCAGAGCTGCCAGGGAGCTCAGGCTGCCGTGTGCCGTGTCATAGTGACATGGCCTGGGCTGCAGACCTGAACTGTTTCCATGCTGTTTCTGGCATGTCCCTAAGCTGCTGTCCAGTGGCTGCCCACACTGCTGGCATGAGCAGGGTGGGAGTGAGCAGCCTCGTCTGGAAGAGCTGTGTTGGTGACATGGCTGCATGGCTGCACAGTTGGATCTTCCTGTTGCCATGAAGTCCAGTGAGGTTTTAGGGAAGCCCCTTGTGTTTCCAGGCACAGGCCACTACAGCCATGGCTGTGGTGGTCTGCAGGCATGGGAGGTGTGTGCCAGCCTCAGGGTCTGCTCAGACAGACCTCCAAACCAGCAGCAGAGATGGGCTTCACACAGAGCTTGGGCTTGGGGTGTGGCACTCTGTGCTTCAGGACACGGGCAACATGAAGGTTGGAGTCCTGGGGACATGCATCCCCATCGGCATCACGGCTGTCCTCGTGAGACACAGAATGGGTGAGTGGGACTTGGAGCTGGGCAGGCTTTGGGCTGCCTCGCAGCCTCATATCTGATGGGCTCAGGGAGAGGAAGGGTATGACTGCCCAAGGAGAGAGACTCTGGTTCTCTGTTCTGGGAGCAGGTGGAGGTGCCCTAGTTGTGCCCCTCTGCTGGACACAGCCACGTGGGACCCTGCTGCCCCAGGCCTTGTTCCACACCTATGTTTGGAAGGGCTTCAGCTGCGTTTCTCTGGACATTTGCTGCCCTTCTCTTTGATTTCAGAACCTGAACATTTTACTGGTGAAAAAACTAGAGCAGAAAGAGAGGAAAGGCTTCACAAGCCCCTCTGTTGAGCAGGAGCAGTGCCTGGCATTGTATGTCTCTCTGGGTTGCCCAGGGAGGTTGTGAGCTCCCCATCTCTGGAAGTGTTCAAGGCCAGGTTGATTTGGGCTTGTAGCAATCTGGTATAGTGGAAGTTATCCTTGCCCGTGGCAGGGGGTTGGAACTAAATGATCTTTAAGGTCCCTTCCAACTGAAACGATTCCACGATTTTTTGGATGCGACCCAGTCCCAGTCCTGCGCGGCACTCCGTGCCCTGGCACAGTGGTGTTCCTGCAGTTGTGCCCCCAGGTAGCCTATCTCTGACCTCTCTGACCATCCATCTCCTCCTGCAGGCCACCAACGGTGGAGGAGCCTTCAGTGACTACTCCTCCTCTGTGCCCTCCACCCCAAGCATCAGCCAGCGGGAGCTGCGGATTGAGACCATCGCTGCCTCCAACACCCCCACCCCCATCCGCAAGCAGTCCAAGCGGCGCTCCAACATCTTCACGGTAAGCGGCACAGGGAGCCCGGGGGCTCTGGGGAGGGTTTTGAGCAGAGGAGGGGGCAGGGGAGCGGGTCACAGCAGCCTGAGCCCACAGGTTCTCCTGCACGGCAGCCCGTGCTGCGCCGCAGGAGGGCCGGGGATGCAGGAGGCCGGGGATGCAGGAGGCCGGGGATGCAGGAGGCCGGGGATGCAGGAGGCCGGGGATGCAGGAGGCCGGGGATGCAGGAGGCCGGGGATGCAGGAGGCCGGGGATGCAGGAGGCCGGGGATGCAGGAGGCCGGGGATGCAGGAGGCCGGGGATGCAGGAGGCCGGGGATGCAGGAGGCCGGGGATGCAGGAGGCCGGGGATGCAGGAGGCCGGGGATGCAGGAGGCCGGGGATGCAGGAGGCCGGGGATGCAGGAGGCCGGGGATGCAGGAGGCCGGGGATGCAGGAGGCCGGGGATGCAGGAGGCCGGGGATGCAGGAGGCCGGGGATGCAGGAGGCCGGGGATGCAGGAGGCCGGGGATGCAGGAGGCCGGGGATGCAGGAGGCCGGGGATGCAGGAGGCCGGGGATGCAGGAGGCCGGGGATGCAGGAGGCCGGGGATGCAGGAGGCCGGGGATGCAGGAGGCCGGGGATGCAGGAGGCCGGGGATGCAGGAGGCCGGGGATGCAGGAGGCCGGGGATGCAGGAGGCCGGGGATGCAGGAGGCCGGGGATGCAGGAGGCCGGGGATGCAGGAGGCCGGGGATGCAGGAGGCCGGGGATGCAGGAGGCCGGGGATGCAGGAGGCAGGAGGCAGGGGATGCAGGAGCGTGCGTGCGCGTGGGGGGGACCCTGTGCGTGTGCAGGGCCCGTGGTGCTGCAGGCTGCCTCGGGCAGGGTGTGCGTGCACGGGGAGCGTCTGGGAGCAGGACATTCCTCACACACATGAGTGTGCAAGGGTGCACTCGTGTGGGTGTGTAGTGTGAGTGAGCTCCTGCTCTTTACGGGGAGCGCAGCTGTGCGTGCACAGCACCAGTGACTCTGTTCATCTTCTCCTTGGGGCTCATACCCTGAGCGTGGCACGGAGCCCCTGGTCACTTGGCCTCCTGTTTGGTGCCGGTGATGCTGTGCCCAGTGGTGCTGTGCAGAGCTCAGCACCTGGCATGGGGCCCTGCTCACTCCCGTTCCTGAATCCTGCGTGACTTGAGCAGCACACGTGGGAGCTGCTGTGGGTGAGGAGGGAGGGAAGACAGAGAGGAAGCAGTAAAGCTGTGGGCCCCAGGTGGAGCAGGGTGCATTTGCAGCCCTCAGCTGTGCTGGTTGCCTTGCAGCCTGCCTCTCTGCACGCTCTCACACCACGCACACGCTGTCCACGCGGTGCGAGGTCCTGCCCTCACACTCACCCTTGCTCTGAGCACAGCCACGAGTGTCCCCTCGCTGTGAGCGCACACGTGTCCCAGTCCCGTGTCTAGTGTAGGTGTAGCCTCTGTTCCCTGTGTACATGTGCAGACTCCGGCCTTGCTCCTCTCCCCGTCTTAATGTGCTTTCCAGCCACCATTGCTCAGCACACCGTGTCTGCTGTTTGTGGAACCGGCCACCACAAAGCCTTTGTACCTGTTGTACCGTGTCACCCTCGTGACCAGCCGCTGCTGCTCTGAGCCCAGACCACACAAATTCAGTGTCCTATGCCCCATTCCTCTCACTGCACCATTGGCATCCCAGATTCCCCACTCCTTTGTGCCGGGAATGTGCCCATCTCCCCTGGCTTCTGATACCCTGGAAGCTTCTGCGCTGACCTCCCGAATACTCTGTACGTTCCCCCCGGCTGCATCTGGTGCAGCCCCAGCTCTCTGTGCACGCCCCAGGCCCACGCTCACCCCGTCCGTCCTGCCGGCACACGCTGCCCCTCGCAGCAGGTCGCCAGTGCCAGCGCACGGTCGTTCCCTCGCTGCCTTCCCCTCGGTGTGCTCACAGCCTCTGGAATGCCCCGTAGCCGTCCCGTGGCCGTGCTCCCACTGCACGCAGCGCCGGCGGCCGCTCGCCCCTCCGCCCCGCCGTTCTGTGCCTCGTGCTCGCGTGGTGCCACCACCCATCCTGCTGGCTGCGCGCCGCCGCCTCTGGACTCGCCGCCGGCTCATGTTCATGCTCTCCGGAGCCCCATGCTCGCTCACTGGGGTGGGCACGCGCTTGGGGGGGAGGAGGGCGGCTTGCTGCGCGGCTTGCGCTTGTTCGCTGTGGGCTCCATCGTGCGTGTAGGGCTCTCACGTGCTCGCTCATCCCGGGCTCACGCTTGCTCTCCGCCGCGGGCTCACCTGTGCTCGGCAGCGCGCGCTCACTCGCCGCGGGGCTGGGGCTCACCTCACCTGCTTGCTCGTGTGCTGCTGCACATCCATGGCTCACGTTGACGTCTTCACCCATCTGGTCGTGGCAGCAGCAGCAGCTCCCGACACCTCCCACAGTGGGACAGGACCAGGCAGGGCGGGAAGGGAAGCGAAGGAAAGGGCAGGCTGTTTTCTGCCATTAGCTTTACCCAGGCAGGCAGCACAGGTGTAGCCAGCAGCCTTCATCCTCGTGGGGTCCCCAGGTGGGCACAGGCCTTTCTGAGGTACAGTGCTCAGCCCGGCTCTGGGAGCCGCTGCAGCCCCAGTCCCGAGCTACGTTTGCTCCTTTGCTCCTCTTTTCCTCTCCCCCTTCTCCTTTCCTCCCCCTCCTCCCTGTTTTCCTCCTCTTCCTCCTTCTCCTCTCCTCTTCTACTCTTCTCCTTCTCTCTTCTACTCTCCTTCTCCTCTCTCCTGCTCTAGCTCCTCTCCTGCTCCCCTCCCACTCCCCACTGGATCGCATTCCCCCCTGGGGGGTCTGCGTGCCCTAGAGCTCCAGGTGGAGACAAACTCTGCGCCCACCCGCGCCTCGAGGCGCCCACCCACTCCTGACCCCCAGCCCCGACTGCTGCTGCCGCCGGCGCCCACTCCGTGGCCTGTCCGTGCTGTCCACTGGCACCCATCACTGACAGACTCGTGTCCGTGTTCTGAGTATAACTTGCCAAACTCTTTATTCTTTCGATATTTGCAGATATGTGCCACTGTTTCCAACTTTTCATCAACAAAAAGGCCTTTCCAACTCCTTCCAAATTAGAAGATCCAGGTGGTTACACACGGCACCTCTGTACAAATTCTCTCACTTTTCATTGCCTCTCCAGGGCCGGATAAGGGATGGGCACTGGGATTGATCTAAGATTAGAGGCTCGCCCGCCCTCCAGCCAGCATGGGTCCCCCCCTCGGAGACACGCAGGAGCCTTTTAAATCCCCCCAATGTAAAGTCTAGGAAGCGCTGAGACGGCCTGCGCCTGCACTTTAAGCTGGGACATTTCTGGGCCTGCTGGATGCTGTCTAGGCACTGCCCTTTCTCGGGGATGCCAGGCGGACGACCCTCCTGGGACGGGAAGACCTGCAGACGCACCGGGACCGGGCGACAGCCGCGCATGGAGCTGGATGGGCCAAAAGACGCTTTGCTGCTGCCTGCGGGAGCCGCTGCAGCGCCTGCCGCTAGCGCTCCGCTCCTTCTTCCCTCCTGCACCTCTGCAGCCTGCATGGACTCCTGCTCCTCCTCCTCTTCTCCTCGCAGCCAAGCAGCCATCTGTGTCTCTTTAGTTTTCTTCTCTTTCGATCTCTTTGTTTGGTTCTGGGCCCATAATCTGGTGAATCGGTGTCCCAGGCGCGCGGGGCTCGTATCCCTTTCTGATCCAAAGCACACGGGGCCCTCCTGGACTGAGGGGGTGTGTAGGACGCTCCAGAGAGACGCTGCCGCTGCCTCCTGCCATTGTTGTGATTCTGAATGTATTGGTTGTGCTCCATGCCATGTATGACTTGGTATTTCCCTCTGTCCTAAGCACTTTGAATGAGTTCTGCTCAACAGACTGTAAATTTCATATTGTATTTATCGGAGTTTGCTCTCCCTGCGGCCCTCGGGTGCTGGTGGGTCCCGCTCTCGCCGCTCTAGACGTGTGGTAGATATTTATTGTCCATGCTCTTTTGTAAGGGGCTGGTATCTTTGCCCGGTGACCTGTGCTACTTTGTATGGTGCAAGTGTGTTACCAGAATAAATCTGTTGGATTAGTAGAGGTGTGAGTTCCTTCACTGCCTGAGCCTCTCCTGCTTCCATCCATGCTCCACCTGCATCCCATGCCATTTCTGTCTGTCGCCATGGTCCTGTGTGCCCCACGGGAGGGGGGGCCCACATAGCCCCGCTCTGCCAGGAGGAGGACAGCTCTGCTTGCCGAGGGGGGAGAGGAGAGCTTGCTGGGGGGCTGGGCTGGAGTGTCCCGAGTGTCCCTAGAGGGGCCGGGCGAGGGCCCGGCTGCGCTGTGCGCTGGGAGAGCTGGCCTGGGGGAGAGCAGACTGCTCTGGAGCCTGCTGGGGACAGGGGACCGTGCGTTTCGGTCTCCTGTGCCCGGCTCTAACGCGCCTGTGTCTCTTCTCTTCCAGTCTCGGAAGGGCGCGGACCCGGAGCGCGACAAGAAGGTGCCGGAGTGTAAAGCGGACAGTATTGGCAGCGGGCGGGCCATTCCCATGAAGCAGGTTCGGAGCTCCCCCTGGCCCCGCTGCGAGAGCAGGGGCTGGGGCCCGTGGGCTGGGGCAGCCCCCGCTGGGGGCCGGCTGGTGCCCCCCTGCTCCGAGGGGCTGCACGCCCGCAGCTCCAGCAGCGAGCGTGGGGCTGGGGGTGCTGGTGTGGACCCTGTGCCCTGGCTGGGTGGGGGGCTCTGGTGGGGGCTGTGGTGGGGGCTGTGGCAGGGTGGTGCTAGGGGCTGCGGCAGCGGCTGCAGAGCGGTTCCAGCAGATGGCATCCATGCCCCACGCCCGCTGCAGCCCCCGCCGCAGCCTCTCTCTGCTCCTTCCCTGCTCCTCTCCCTTTCCTTTCCTCTCCTACTCCTGCTCCTAGCAGGACATGAAGGGGAGTCCCCTCTTCATGGGCTACTGTGAAAAGCTGTGAACACAGTGCCCACACCGTGAGCCGCTGGGAACCTGAGGGAGGCACTGCTTCCTCCAGCAGCAGTGCATTCTGCTCCTGCCTCTTGGCTTCCAGGGAGGCTTGAACTGTCTGGATCCAAGCCGGAGTGTTGTCTGCCCCTGTGGCAGTCACTGGCAAGCAGTGCCGGGTGATGTCCAAGCGAGCCGAGTGGTGTGGATTGGCTGGATGGTGTTTCCATCAGGATTTCCTTGCATTACTGCAGAGACTGATCTGGCAGTGCCTGGTTGTGCTCCTGCCTTGCGCGTTGTGCCCCCGTTGTGGATCCATTTACCCTCTGCTGGGCCCTCTGTGCCCCATGTGCCCCCCAACACTGCCAGGGCAGAGTTGCACAGGGCCAGTTGTGTCTCGGCATTGCAGGAGTGCTGGGACATGAGGCAGGAGAGTGGAGTCTACATCCCCACCAGGTTCTGGCTGTCTGGTACAATTCCATGCTGAGATTCCATAGGGCAGGACTCAGTGAGGCCAGGCTAGCTGAGGAGTGGAGTGGTGGGTCAGAAGAGAAAGACCCTGCTCACTGCTGGAGCTGCCAGAGCTCCTGCCCTTCCCTGCCCATGGACTAATCCTGGGGCAGGTTTGTGCAGGGCTGTTGGTGCCCCGGGCAGGGGACTGTGCTGGAAGGAGGGTGGTGTTGGGAAGGCAGGTTGGGAGGATCAGCTCTGGGGCAGAGGGAACAATGACAGGAGAAGCAATGGCAGGGTGGGGACTGTGGCATCTCACACATGGGGGCTCTGTTCCTGAGGTGCCCAGGTTTGGCACAGCCCCAGCAGGAAGAGGCAGCCCAGCTACGTGCTGGGCCATGCCCTGCTCTCTGCAGCACAGGGCCTGTTGGTGTGCAGTGGGTTGTTGTTGCTGTGCAGTGGGTTGTTGTTGGCATGCAGCAGGTTGTTGTTGGTATGCAGTGGGTTGTTGCTGTGCAGCGGGTTGTTGTTGGCATGCAGCGGGTTGTTGGTATGCAGTGGGTTGTTGGTATGCAGTGGGTTGTTGTTGCTGTGCAGTTGGTTGTTGTTGGTATGCAGTGGGTTGTTGCTGTGCAGTGGGTTGTTGTTGCTGTGCAGTGGGTTGTTGGTGTGCAGTGGGTTGTTGTTGCTGTGCAGTGGGTTGTTGTTGGTGTGCAGTGGGTTGTTGGTATGCAGTGGGTTGTTGGTATGCAGTGGGTTGTTGTTGCTGTGCAGTTGGTTGTTGTTGCTGTGCAGTGGGTTGTTGTTTGTGGTGAGTCTTTGCTGTGAGGTGGGTTGTTGTTTGTGGTGGGTCGTTGGTTTGCAGTGGCAGTGCCCATATGCTCTGGTTTGGGGTCAGCCCAACCTGGGCAGCAGGAGAAGCAGTGGGTGGCTTATTCTGTGATGAGGTAGGGGAGGCTGAGTGGAGAGCAGCTGGAGCCCTCAGTGAGACCTGACTTGGTTCCCCAGGTCCTGTTGCTGCCTGCTGGAGGGCTGGTCCTGAGAGGGACCCAACAGCCTTTCGTGCCTGGACCTTTGGGTTCCTTTTTCCAGGATCTCCCTCCACTCGGCAGAGCAGGGTAATTGCTTTACCCCTCTGTCTTCATTGCTGCTGACAAGGCCTGGCCTTGCCTGCTCTGCCAGACACTGTGCTGGTTTAGTGGGATTAAGTCATTCCACGCGTTCCTGTGTGAAATGGGGAGAACTGGGACCAGCAGAGGCCTGGGCCTGCAAACACAAGCTGTACATGTTTTCTGGGCTTTGCAGGGAGGAGGAGATGCCGTGCTGCTGCCTGGTTCTGGGCTAAGCAGTGGGACCAGTTCATGGCAGCAGCAGCTCACAAGGAGAGCCTGGAGCAGAGTTCCCATGGGAGATCAAGGTCCATGCTGGGTTCAGGACTGGCACCTCTTCTAGCCAGAGTTGTGAGAGGCAATTTCACAGAGATCAGAGATCCTGGCAGTGTTTTCAGAGGAACATATGCGGGGGGAAGTGGTGTTGAAAAGGTGGACACTAGCTTGTGCCAGCAGATACTGACACGTGGCTTGTGGGGAAGGGCTTGTCAGGGGGTCCACAGTGAGGTTAGCACTACAGCTTGGCACATTCCTGCCGTGGCCCTACGCCACAAGGAGTGATGGCTTGGTACCATCAATGGCAAGAGGAGCAAAGACTCCCTGGAGGTGTAGCTGTGTATCACAAAGATTTGGGACAGGGGATGGTTGCTCTGGTCTCTGCTACGGACCTGCCCCTACTGGAGGATGGTGGAGGTGTCATTGCTTGCTGGCTCGGAGAGGCAGTGGGAGAGTGGGGCCTTTGGTTGGTTTTCCTCGCAGATCGCTCGCTGGTCCTGCCCAGCCGTAGGTGGGTTTGGGGCTGTGAGTGGCAAATGGGTGGGATCTCCTGTCTGGGTTTGTGGCCAGCATTGGACTGTTGGCTTGCCTTGGCATGGGCACTGCTGGGCTGGCATGTTCAGTGCTGGGGCTGCTGGCAGCTCCCCTCAGGAGCAGTTGGGTTCCTCTGTGTGGGAGAACGAGGTTGGTGTGTGCTTGCATTGCCAACCGAGGGCTGAAGGCAGCGAGTGCTGTGGGGCAGCAGGCTCACCCATGACACCCATGGCTGCAATTGCTGTGATCCATGATCCCTCCCTGGTCCCTGTGAGGACAGAACAAGCGTTGGGAAGCTCTGGCAGCCCTCCTCAGCATGCGAGGCCTGGGGTTTGCATGGAGCCAGGAAGCAGAAGGCTGGGCTGGGTGCTGCATAAAGAGGAACATTGGGAAGCTTTGGCTGAGAGAGGGATGTGTGTTGCTGCTACGGGGTGCTTGGTTGTCACTTGTCACTGCCTTCTTCAGCGCAGCATCTCTGTGTGACCTGTTCTGTCTCCCTTATGCGTGTCTGGAAAAGATGGAACTCCCCAAGGGGACAGGTGAGACTGTGGGTGTTGGGGCTGCTCCACACCTGGGACAGCACCTACGCACCCTCCAGGCAGCTGGTGCCTCTGCCAGGGCTGCCCTGTGCCAGGAACTCGGGGTCCGTGTGCCACAGCATCCCTTTGGTGACAGTCCTGCAAGGCTGGAAGAGTTCTCTCATAGCTGGACACTTGTCTTGCGAAGTGGGTTAATTAGGCCGGGAGATGAAGCTTCCTCAGCTGTTTGTTCCCAGGAACGAGCTGCTAATTGCACATCTTCCAGATCTTTCTGGGAAGGCTGCGTGGAGCGTGCTGGCAGCCCGGGGGTCCCCTGGCCCCTGGCCTGGCTCTGCTCGGGCCGTGCACTCCAGCAGGGCCCAGGGCGGGTGACTCCTCCTCCTTGGGAGCTGGGATCATGCTGGGAGCTTAGATTACATTTAAATTGCCATTTGCATTTTCCAATCAATACGCGACTTCACAATTAAGTTTGGTGTTAAAATTCTTAGCAAAAAGTGAGTGGAAGGGAGATTTGTGGAGTAAACGAGTCCTCTGGGGGCCATCACTGCTGCCTGCTTCATTACGCTGCATATTGCTGCTGCTGCTGCTTTTAGTGTGCAGCAGCTCAGCCCAGCGCGGCGCGGAGCCGCACACGGGCACAGAATGCCGCGAGAGGGGAGTGGGGAGAGCAAGAGGGTTCAGACTCCCCTCCCTTTGTGTGTGACACGGGAAGAAACTTGTGGAAGAGTTATTTCCTGGAACTCTTCCCACAGGGTGCAGAGGGAGGTTGAGGAGCACCCGAGGGCACCAGCACAGGGGTGTCGCAGGGAGCCTGGCCGGGAGGCTCGTGGGGAGCGTGCACAGGAGCGTGGATGGATGGCCTCTGCCGTGGGTCGTTCCCCCTTTGGACTCTTGTTCCTTCTGGCTTGCAAAAAGAGGCTGTAGGGTCCTCCTTTATGGCTTTGAGTTTGGTTGTGCTTCAGTTTGCTGGGTTTGAGGCCAGCAAAACTGCAGCCAAACTGTTCTGTGCAGGCAGCTTGTGTTTGGGGCAGGCTGCAAGTGCTGGTGTTTTGTAGCATCAAGCTGCATCAGGTTGAAGTCAGATCGAGGAGAGAAGCTGTTCTGCAGGATGTTGCAAAAGGGCAGGTCAGGCTGGAACCGAGCTGGGTTTAAGGCCAGAAGGGGGATCATCATGCTCAGAAGGGATCATTACATGCCCTGGAGGAATCTTCATGCCCAGAAGAGATCACTGTGCCCAGAAGGAATTGTCACAATCAGAAGCCAGAGAATTCCACGCAGTGACTTTGAGTTAGATCTGTAACTTCAGCCTGGTCTGCAGCAGATTTGTTTGAGAGATACCATGCAAATGTTCTGAATTAGAACTCACCATTTACCTGGGTGAGCTGGTGGATGTTAAACTGGCTTTGTGTGGCAGGAGGAGCAATCATTTTCATACGCTGTGTGGGGAATGTGTGGCCCAGCTGTGGTGTCAGGTGGGCCCAGAGGCAGTGCTGCAGAAACACAGGTACTGCTGGCTGTGTGTGGGAGGAGGGGACGCAGGACCCGGGCAGCTGCCCTGGCCTGGCATGGAATGGCACGGCTGCCATCTCATCTGGGACGTGCAGGGACATCAGGATCCCATCTCCAGTGGGGAGGACCAGTGCCCACCAGTGCAGGTGTTGTGCAGAGGTTGGAGTGACATGGTACAGCTGAGCCTGAGGGAGGGAGGGAGGGAGGGAGGGGTGAGGTGACCTCCCAGAACTCCTCCAGCTCTGCTTTGTGGTGACAATATCACAGATGGGAGTTAGCACTCTGCCCTGTCTGACCCAGAAAGAACTGCCACACTGAGGTACCTTTCCCACAGAGCGCTGGGGGCTGGGGAGCTGCTCAGTGTCAGCTCATGGAGCCCAGGAGCTCACACGTGGGCTGCTCCCACCCCATCCCTGTGCTGGCCCATCCCTGACAGCCCACTGCAGAGTCCTGCCAGCTGGCCCCTGAGCAGGATCGTGCCTGCTGTCCTCAGCAGCTCATTTTGCCCAGTGATAGGAGGCAGTTGGGGTTAAGGACCAGTCACTGCACTGATTTACACCATACAGTTGCCACATTCCCTTTTCCCCCAGGTTTTCTGTTTTATGTTTTCTTGGAGTTCATTTGAGCAAGACACTGAGGAACTAGTCTGAGTCAGTTGGCTGCACCTCTGTAAGTCCTTCTGTTGGACACAGGTTTACCATTTATAACCATGCTTGTTCTCAGGCACGGATATGTTTGGAGACCTTGCACTTGACTACTTCTCATTCCATCCATTTCTGGCTCTATGGGTTTTGTACAACTGGTGTTTAAGGGTGTTGTTACTCAGTTAAAGACCTGACAGAAAGCTAAAACCACTTATCAGCACAGTCACTGCTGCCATCACATACTGTGTTTTACCCAAGGGGGAACCAGGCTCCTCTAATGTCCTGTTTGCTCTGCTGGCATTGGCTCCTGTCCTGTCCTGTCCTGTCCTGTCCTGTCCTGTCCTGTCCTGTCCTGTCCTGTCCTGTCCTGTCCTGTCCTGTCCTGTCCTGGCCTGTCCTGTCCTGTCCTCTCCCCTCTCCCCTCTCCCCTCTCCTTTCCCCTCTCTCCTCTCTTTGCCATAGCTTCTCCCTCCATTTGCTTGGTGTGAGCATCCAGCCATGCCTGCAGGGGTTGTTGCTTGTCCTCTGGCAGACCTTGGCAGAGCAGAATTGTTGGTCAGCCACATTCCATGCCATGTTCTCATCAGCACCTTCTGACTACTCCTGAGTGAGTTCTTCAGCTCATGTCCTTTGAGGACCAGGTATCAGATCCTGACAAGGGATCTGATCCTGCCTACACACAGCTTTGCCCTCACCACTCTGTTTTGCTGTTCCATCCCTGTGTGTGCAGGAGGCAGTTCCTTTTCCTGCTGTTTGCTGCCCGAGCACTGAGCTGGAGTGGTCACGGGGACTTCTGCCTGTTCTGCACCATTTATTGCTGATTTCACGCTCACGTCTGGCAGTGTTGTCCCCCCACCACTTCTTGCTGGGCCTTTGCACCGTGCAGGCACAGCAGCTCAGTCTCCAGGCACTGGGACTGGGCCCTCAAATATGCCAAGGCTGGTGGAGCTGAGACTTTCTGCCCAGGTTTTTGAGGAGGGGCTGGCCTGGGGCCCAGATTTTTGCCAAGTTCGGAACAGGCAGTCTGGGTGTCTGTCCAGACAGCTCTTTTGGAGGGGCCAGGCCTGACAATTGATAGATTCAGCTTTTTCCCAGACTTTGTTACTCATTCCTACTTTTGTCCCCCCATGCTGTGCTTCCCTCCCTGCCAACAGAGTGCATGATGTGCTCTCCCTGCTCCAGAGCCCTTGCACCTGGTGTCTTGTCCCAGCTTCCTTCTTCCTCTCCACCTTTGTCCTTACCTGGTACATGATAAATTGCTGCTGGAGGTAGATTTCCTGGGGAGGCAAAAATGAATGGAGAGAGGATGAGGATCATCTGTGCTCTGAGCCTTGGCTCAAATCAATGGAGTTAGTTCTGGGTGGGAAGAGGGAGTTCAGCACATGCCAGTGCAGTCATTACCTGTGAATGTGTTGTGCCAGCAACAGCAGGATGGGTCTCAGGTAAAAGCCTGATGAGAAAAGGGGATGACCCTAACTCTCAACTGCCCAGGACCTACCCTCCCTCCTGGGATGTGTCCCTACTCTGTTTGACAGCTCTCAGAATCACAAGCAGGTGAGAAAATGTGCATCCCTTGGGAGATCTGTATTTGGAGTGTTGTTTCTCAATCGGCCCCTGCCTGTTCCCAGGTTTCCTGCCTTGACTATCCCTCAGTACTCCGGGTGGTGGGAGAAGGTCTGGGAGCAGTCTGTGTCTGTGGCAGTGAGGTTGGCTCCTGTCCTGCGTGGGCACTGCAGCATGGCAGGAGTTTCTCAGAGGAAGTGGTTTGGGACACCAGAGGATTTGATGGGTCCCTCAGAGGACCTGAACATTGGCATTGTCATGTGGAGACCCTTATCCCTGAAAGGGAGGAGGCTGTCTGTGGGGACTGAGGGGTTGGTAATGAAAGAGTGCAGCCCAGAGAAATGTGGGAAAGCCCACCTTTTCTTGAGTCTGCTCATCATTTCTTCTCAAAGACCAGTCTCCAAGGGGCATGGAGCGGAGCCTGGACCAGACACCATCTGAGACTCATGACTCTTCTCTTTCAGGGCATTCTCCTCAAACGCAGTGGCAAGTCCCTCAACAAGGAGTGGAAGAAGAAGTATGTGACACTGTGTGACAATGGGGTCCTCACCTACCACCCCAGCCTGCACGTGAGTACTGGCTGAGTAGAGGAGCAGGGTGGGACAGAGCAGTGTCCTTCATGTTGTGGCTGCTGCTGCAGGTGCTCTTGCAGCAGCTGTTACGGCAGAGAGAGGCTGGGGAAGAGTTGGGTAGCAGATGGAAGTTCTGGGCTCTGCCCTATGCAGGAATTCAGTGTTGGCCACCTCCAAGGCAGCATTTTCAGCAGACCTGGTTTTAAGCAGGGTCTGGAGGAGACTCTCTCCTGCAGGCCGTTTGTTCAGTGCTAGGCTGGTGGAAACACACTCTGTGCAGGATTACAATGACAAGCTGCAGTTCTCTCCAGTTTGCCTGCTCAGTCCATTAAAGCAGGGCCTACCCTGCAGCCAGATGAGGAGCAGGTAGAGAGCTCCTTGCACCCATATCTGATGGTGCCATTTGGGTGTGGAATAATTTTCCTGGCTGCTAGGTATTGGGTAATGGACTCGAGGTGCCTGTGCAGAGCCTGCCGAGCTGAGCTGCCGTCGGTGCAGCTCTGATCCTTGTCCTCGCTCGGCTCAGGCACGCAGCTGCCGCCCCATCCATCTCTGTCGCCTCCCCACTGTGGGGCTAATGGCTTCTTCCCTATTCCCTCTTGAGCACAGTTTGCTGCTGCAGCAGCAGCCACGGACAGACACACCTGTGACACAGGCTCAGCACCTCTGCCAAGGACGTACTGCCACAGGACAGACAGACGGGCAGTGGCGGGGGGCACAGGGTGGTTTAGGGGGCTGCAAGTAGAAGAACAAGGTGCTGCAGCTCTTGTGAATGTTCCCAGGCCCTCAGTCTGTCCCTGATCTCCTCAGATGTGTGGTATTGGAGTGCCTCAAGCCTTAGAGTCTTTCTCCTCATTGCTAACCCTGCACCCTCATTCCAGGGTTTACCATGCTCAGTTATCCAGCTCCAGAGCCCCTGGACCCTCCTGTCCTTGAACTGGAGACCCAACCATTGCATTTCCTTTCTCTAATTTGTTGGAGCTTTTTCTTAGAGTCCTCAATCCCAGTACTGTGCTGTAGTCTGCAGTTCTCTAACTTTGTAACCCCAGTTTTTGGTTTTTGGAGCACCACACCAGGGGGGAGCAGCTGCTGCTGCCATCTCATGTGTACTCACCTGTGCACCTGTGTGTATGGGCTTATCATGTTTCCACCATGGAAATTACCATGCCATTAGCATCAGCTGTGGAGGCAGAGCAATTTCTGGGCTGTTGTTTAGCTACTCTCAGATGCTGCTGCCACATACCAGGTTTCTCTCCTTTTTTCACCATTTCTTCTTCAGGGGGTGATTGGGATTGATGCCACTCTTTCCTTCCTGCACTTCCGTGTTTCATTTCATTACTGCCTTGCCCTGGGAAAAAACCTGGTTTGCCTCCGTCTGGTGCCACAGGTGATCTGCAGCCCATTGCTGAGGGTGATGCCAGTTGGGCCTCTCCTGCCTGGTTTCCACGAGGAGCTCTGAACCTTGCACCTGAGATAGGAGTTGTATGGCTGGGTGTGTTTACCTACAGCGAGGGTGGATTACATGTGGGCACAGAGCGTGGGGCTGGGGTTCTGCGTGCTCCTCTCTGGCGTTTTCTGCCTAGGAACCACCCTCGTGTCCCGTTGTGTGCTGCAGTTTTGGCAGCATGCTGCTGGGGTCTGCAAAGCGTCTGCCTCCCCTTCCCTCTGGTACCTGCTGTACAGCCTGCTTGGAAGGGGTGGATGCAGGGACAAGCAGGAGGAAGAGGGAGTGCAGAGGAGGATCTCCTGTTGCATCTGCTCCTCCCCATCTTCCAAAGTGAATCAGGAGGTGCTGTGATGGATTTGTACCCTGTGGCCCAAGGCAAAACCCCCATGTCTTTTCACAGGATGACACAAGCAGAGCATGTTAGGGGTGGAACAAACCTGTGCTCCCGAGGATGGACATGTACTCTTCTATCATTTCAGTGTGGCAGAAGATCCCAGGCTGGCTGGCACGGGCTGCAGGGAGCTGAGGGCTAAAACAAACCAGAGTGTCTGCCAAGGGGATGTGCAGCTTCCACTTCTTGCCATGGGATGGGAAGTCCCAGCTTCTTCCCTGCCTGTGCCTCCATGTGTCTGGGGGATGGCACAATTCTGGATGCAGCAAAGGGGTCCCTGAGGGCATGCTAAGCCTTGCAGGAGGAGAGTCTTCCCTGTCCATCAGGATGTTCAATGCCCCAGAGCATTTTTGTGCTCTTTTTGTGTTCCCAGTGGTGTTTCTTGGAATGAGTCAGGGCAGTTCCTGGCTTGTCTTCTCTTCCATCTCTGTTACATTCTCTCCCTGTCCCTCCTAAGGTGGGTGTTGGGACCTCGGAGATCAGCAGTCCTAATTTCTTTCTCCTCCAGTGCACATCTGGCCAGGGTGTGTCCATGCCCCACTGGATGGAGGTCAGGGCCTGACTTTGGCAGTGCTGATTTTACCAACCAAGGCTTCCTGGTGGAGTTCTTCATCTGCTTTTGGGAGTTTATCACTCAGTCTGTTTCTGGATCTGGATTGTGGCCCCTCCAGCCCAACTTGAAAGTTTCCTCAGCAGGAATCAGGCGTAAACTCTGGGTTTGCAGTCGCAGGTTGGTGAAACGCGTGCTGGTGAGCTGGCCCCGGCCCTGGAATTGCTTTCCTGCTGGAAGCAAATCTGCCTTGACCAGCAGCCTGGACTCATGCTCTGGAACTGTGGGGCAGTTTGTGGGTTCCTGCCCTGAGGTGCCACATCTTCCTCTGCCCTGGAGCAGTTGGTGGTTCCAGGGACAAGCAGGATGCCTGGAAATGGAGGCAGCAGTGCTGGGGGCCCGATCCCTGGATTCAGCAGGGCTTTCCTTGTTGCATCTGTATTTCTACCTTTCTGTGAGTGTGTTCAGCAACAGGAAAAGAACAAGTTGTGTGAAGAGCCTGGTGCAATTTCCCATCACTTCCCCAAAGCCTTGGAGAGAATTCTGCTGCCGGGAAGGTGCGTGGCTGAGCCCAGGCTCGCCGGCCGCGCCGCACAGAGCCAGGGAAGCAGCTCCCATTTTGCAGCCAGTGGAGCCATTCACACAATCACCTTCTGTTAATTCTATCTGCAACATCAATTAAATTGTTTGTAGAAACTAATTGAATGTGGCTTAATCACACATCTTAATAGCTTTCCACGCTTTGAACTCGTTGTTAATTCCAGTAATAAAATGAAATGAGAGAACTGGCTGGGTAATTAGCGAGGAGGCTTGGGAAGAAATTGCTGTTTTATGGTAGGTAATAAAAGCCGAGCGCCAGTGACCGCTCGCTCCGGCAGGCAGCCGGTGACTGCAGCAGTTGTGCTGAGTGAGGGAAAATCCTCCAGCCCCTCTGAGGGTCCCTGCCCAGGGCTGTCACCAGGTCCACACCCAGCTGGGAGCAGCTTGGTGTGGTGTTTGCTTAGGCTGGCGGTGTCAGAGTCACCCAGGGATGGGGTGTGCCAAGCTTTGAGGCCAGGCTGCCCAGCCCCTGGGAGCATTGGGAGGGTGTGCTGCCCCGTGTCCAGGGTGTGCTGTGAGGGCAGGATGCCTGCATAGGGGTCACTGGAAAGAGAGGAGATCAGACCGAGGCATGAAGGTGCTCTGGGGGACCATGGCCCTTGAAAATACCTACCTGAGAGCATAGAGCATGGCCTGTGCAGCCCCTGTCACCTGCTTTTGGGTCCAGGATGGGAGGATTGTTGCTCTTAAACAGAGCTAGTTCATGTCTTTATCATCTTGGATGTGTGAGACAGGGACCATCTCTCAGTTAATCTTTTTGGTGACCTCCTTGTGAACTGGAGTAAACCTGAGCCCCCCACAGCAGCCACAAGCTCTCCCTGGACAGCCATGGCTCCTCTCCTGATAGCAGCACAGGAGCCCAGGGCTGCTGTCCTCAGCTCCCTGTTCTGCCAAAGCCTTGAGCTCCAGTGCTGGTCCCTGCTCCCTTGGGATCTGACCAGCAGTTCCCCTCTGTGACATTGGTTGGGTCTTCCCTTTCTGAGGACACAAGCCCGAGGAGGTGCTGGCCTCATCAGAGAGGGCTCGGGAGAGCCCCGGTGCCCCACAGAGCAGGGAGGGGTGGGAGGCACAGGAAGGGACACAGTGCTCAGGAGAGACTGGGAGTCTGCACCCTCATTCTGACTGAATGCTGAGATGCTCTTGGAAGACAGGGCAGAGTGATAGTTACAGTCTGCACATGGGGTTTTGGTTGTATAATGAATTGTCTGCTAGAAGAAATGGTGGAAGCACCAAGGTTGGAGTAATAGGAAGCTCTGCAGGTGAATGAGCAAGGGAGTTACCCAAGTTCTGTTGGTTTGGGTTTCTCTTACCCCAGCTGTGACCTGAGAGGGAATTTTTAGGTATCCCACTGCTTATGCTGTACTTACAGTAATTATATTACTTACGTTACGTTATGTTACCTTACGTTATGTTATGTTGTTATTAGCTGTTGCATTTGAATGCTGAGATTACACAAGGGATGATAGGGAGGAGGAAGTGCTGCCCACCTGGTGATCTCTGATCCCCAGCCAGGCTTTCCCAAATGGGCTCATCCTGGCATGTGACAGGGCTTAGTGCCCATTCTGAGGATGGGGGAGCTGAGCGTGTTCGGCTGGGGCAGGGCTGATCCTCCACCTTCCTGCCTCTGCTCCAGGATTACATGCAGAACGTCCACGGGAAGGAGATTGATCTGCTGAGAACTACGGTGAAGGTGCCGGGCAAGCGGCTCCCCAGGGCCACAGCAGCAGCAGCAGCAGCAGCAGCAGCGCCCAGCGCCAGCCCCAAAGCCAACGGGCTGGCCAAGGAGCGGAGCAGCTCGCAGCTGGCAGGAGGAACAGGTAAGAGCTGGTGTGGATGGCACAGAGCCAGCAGCTGTCCCTCCACAATGCGTCAGCAGCCCCCAGCTTTGCTGAGCTGAGAGCAGAACCCCTTCGGAGGTGTCTTGCTTTCACCACCCTCAGGGAGTCCCTGTGGTGGGCCTCAGCATTTCTGTGCAGGTCCCAGAGGCAAGCTGCTCCTAGGATTTTGTGCTGGTTGATGTCCAGGACAGAAGAATGTCAAAGGGTTTAAGTGTCAGTGTGAACCCCTGAGGAATTTCCTCACCCTGAGGAGAGTGTTGAGGCTGGTGAGCTGCTGCGCATGGTGGAAGCTGCTGCTCCCTAAACCAAAGGAAATCCCACGGCTCTGGGATTGGTTTCTTGGTTTCTGACAAGTTGTCTTCTGTTCCTTTCTGGTTTTGGGACCCTATTTCCTGCTCACTTTCCCCTGGAGAAATGGTGAAGATGTGGTTTGGGATCATCACTCTGTGTGCACATTGAGGAGTTGCCCCAGAGTGTGGTGAGGTGAGACGGGGAGGCTGGCTGCCCCTCTGGCCTCTCACAGAGTTCCTGTCACACTCCTCCTCTCACAGAGTTCCTGCCATGCTCTTCCTTGCTGCTGCTGCCATGGGAGGTTCTCACCCTGCCTGGGTTGAGCTTGGAGCCTTCCTACCCACGTTTCCCAGAGCCTTTACTGCATCCTTGGGGCTGGTGTCCTTGGCCAGGGTGGGCAGTTTCCACCTGCCTTCTTCCCAGCTAGCTGTTGGCACAGTCTGGTGCACAGGTTATGGAGAAGGCTGTTTGGGATGCTGAGGGAGTGCTGGTGGTGCTGCTGATCACAGAAGTCTTTCCAAATCCAGTACTGCCACTGAGGGTGAACTGGGGTGACACATCCCCATCTTGTTCATTCCTGCTTTGTGCCCAGCTCTGCCCTGTGGTCGGATGATGTGAGCACAGTGTTTCAGAGTGTCCTGGGGCTGAGGGGAGGTGGGATGCAGCTGGGGTGAGTGTCAGGAGCTGTTGGAGTCCTTGGCATCACACACACACACAGACACACAGGGAATGGGGCACAGTAACATCACTGCTCACAGGGTGCCAAGGAGGACATCATGAGCCCTCCCAAACCCAAACCACTGTTCTTGTCACATCAGAGGTGATAAACCATCTGTTCTGACCAGGGCTGTGCAGCTCTGCCTGTTCCTTGCCTTGGTTCTCCACTGTACACTGACGCTCTTTCACCACCACAGCGTGTCCCAGCACGGGGACAGTTCCTGGTTCTGGATGGGGACAGTTCTCTGCCCGCACGTCAGAGGTGCCTTGTCTGAGCTCTGACTTAGCAGAGCTATCAGAGCAGGGGGAAGGATTCAGACCACAGAGGAGCCTATGCTGATGTCAAACCAACTGCTCAACGCCATGTCCTGCTTCCAGCAGTGCTCTCAGTCGGGTTGGGCTCGCAGGAGTGGGTTGGGATGTACCTGGATTACCGATCACTGCTGCTGGAAAAGCCGTGCATACTCACGGGGTACGGCGTGAGACCCTTGAGTGGGCCACAGAGCTGGAGCAGGCACAGTGCACAGGGGCTGGAGTTAGAGCAGTTTACACACATTAGAGGAGATGCAGTTTCCTAGCAGGGGGGAAATTAATGTTGGAATAGTTTATCTGGAGAGCAGTTTGACTTAGCACTGCCTGAGCCTTTAGAATGAGACCAGTTTTCTGTTCACGAGATGTGCTTTAGTCCAGCTTGTGGGTGTTGCTGGGCACGTGTGTGCAGGGCTGTGGCACGGTGGTCGTTGCCATGTCGGGTCTGTGGCTTTGGGATCCCCTGCTGGCTGCCTGTCCTGGGCCCATGAGCAGAGCAGCGCTGGGAGCTGCCCAGCCTGGGTGTGTCCACACAGGGCTCAGCACTTTAAGCACATGTGGTGTGCCTGTCTTGGCTCAGGCTGTGTCTGCGGTGTCAGAAAGGTTTTCCTTCTGGTACACAATCAGTAAAGACTTTTCTGAGGAATTTTTTTATCTGTCTCTCTGATGCCTCCAAGCCCAGTAGCAGTGGATGCAGTCACCAAGTGCACTGATGGGACACAGACCCTCTGATGTGATGTGCTCTTATCCCTGTGCAATGCCCAGGGCTGGATTTACAGTTAATGGAGAATCTGCCTGGCTTCAAATTAGCAGTGACCTCACAGTTTTGCCACCTTGGGACTGTGGATGGGACTGTTACTGGATCCACAGGGCATCTCTCATCTGACACGTATTTTGGGAACTGGAGAGGAAGCACTTCAAAGTTTGCAGTTCTTTGCCAGTCACAAGTTAATCTTCAGAGGACACAAGCTTTGGAGACATGAGGGATTTGCTGTCTTGCCCCGGGAGTCTCTGGGCTAAACCAGGTGGCTGGTGGTTAGAGTTCAGAGCAAGTATCTGTGGTTCCTCTGTGACCTGAACTCTGCAGAGGTAAGTGAATGTGCTGGCTGATGTCCAGTGCACATACAGTCCTTACTTGGAGTGAGGAAAGACCAGGGACATAGAGGGGGAGAAGAAGAATAAAACAGTGTCGCCTTGCCCTGTATGTGGATGAAATAGATGGATGCAGTGCTCTGGTGAGGATTCAGAATAACTCCAAAGCAGGTATAGACAGTTTCAAGCTAAATACAGTAGAAATGAGGAAGGGACTTGTGTTTGTGAAACCAATGGGGGCTCTGAGCTCAGTCATGATTGTGACCCAGTATTTAAACCATTCAAGAGGCAACTTTACTCTAGTTAAGCTTGGTTTTATTTTGGGTGGGATGAGTTCCCATTGTCCAGAGGGGGCCATGGAGATGCTCCATGGGCTGGAGCCCCCTCCTACAGAGATGGGCTGAGACAGCTGGAAGTGTTAACCTGGAGAAGAGAAGGCCCTAGAGAGAAGACCTTAAAGCTCTTGCAGTGCCTCAGGCTGGAGAGGGAGTTTGGACAAGGACCTGAAGTGACAGGACAAGGGGGACTGATATTATACTGAAGGAGGGGAGGTTTAGATTGGATATTAGGAAGTCCTTCCGTGTGGGGTGGTGAGACCCTGGCAGTGGTTGGCCAGAGAAGCTGTGGCTGCCCCATTATTGGAAGTGTCCAGGGCCAGTTTGGACAGGTCTTGGAGCAGCCTGGTCTGGTAGAACGTGTCCTTGCCCATGGCAGGGGTGGGACTACAGTGGCTGGGGTGGAGAGGGCAGGAGAGGGATGAGCAGATGTGCCAGAGCTCACAGGTGCTGTGGCCTGAAGGCAGGTATTCACTAGAGGTGTGGCACTGCTGGGTCAAGTGTCTCCTGCAAATCCCTGCTGCTCCTCTTCCTGCTGGAATGTCAGTTCTCTTGCCCTGTCCCTCACAGTCCCCCAGGTGGATCCGTGCTATGGTTCATCGGGTTCACCTACCTTTGTGTTGTGCTGCATCTCATGTTTCTGGCTCAACGAGCTCGTATCAAAGTGCAGGTGGGATGAAAAGGGACTTCAGTGAGGGAGGAAAGCTGGCTGCACAAGACACAGTGTCAGTCAGCACAAGAGCCCAGCCTCAGCCCAGCTGAGCCCTGGTTCGTGCTTCGCAGAGGTTTGTAGGGACCTGCTGCAAGGGGAGCCGGGCAGGGGGGCACTGGACCCGTGATCTGTGACCTGTGCAGGTTCCTACACTCGTACCACAGCCATGCATGGAGCGTGGAGCTGGCTCTGTGTCACAGCTCACTGAGGCAGGGGATGCCAAGAGCTGAACACCAGGAAGCCTGCCTTGGAGTGGGAGGTGAGGAGAAGTGAAGGAGGAGGCTGCAGCAATGCTGAGATGGTTGTGGTTGCAGGCAGCGATTGGAGGTGTTTCCAGCAGCAGAAGGAAACGACTCAGCAAGGAGTTGTGAGCTTGAGCTCCGGAGGGTTTTTGGGTAGGGACTGCTGTGGGTCAGTTCCCTCCGGCCCGAGGAACAGTCTGCATGGTCTGACAAGCATGTTGGGGCCAGTGCCAGTGTGAGTCCTCTTCCTCCTCCTGCTTCTGCAGCATCACTCCTGCATCTCCTCCAGGGAGAGCATTTTCTGGAATGTGGTGGGAGGCATCGCTTGGGATGCAGGGCTTGTTTGATGCTCCCATTTGCTCTGAGGTGATGAGGGTCCAGCTGTCCCTGGCCGAGTTCTGTGTGCTGGCACCAGCTCCTGGCTCCACAGCACAGGCTGGGGAGCCGTGGGTGCAGAGCGGGGCAGCGTGTCCGTCCCTGGGCCTCTGGTGGGAGGGAGCCTGTGCTGGCTTAGCTGCTCCAAACATTGGGATGGCAGGGGATGATGCTGGGTCTCCAGGCAGCTTGGGATGTTGGCTGGGCTCATGCTGACGCCTGACAGCTCTGTTGTGGCCTCTGGGGAGGAAGGCCGGGAGCCATTGCACAGGGCAGAGCACGGTGCCGGGGAGCGCCGCGGTGGCAGGGCCCCCCCGCCAGGCCCGTGCCCCCCGATGCTCTGCCTCTGCAGAGTGAGGGATTGGCTCCCCCAGGCCGGGGTTGCTGAGCCTGCTGTGATCATGTCACGTCGGGCTCCGTCGATGTTAACATCTCATTATCTTTGTTACTGTAATTACATTATCCGCTGCTTTATGCAGAATTATTCTCCGAGGACTAATTGATGGATCCATGTTTAATTCATTAATCATTAGCATCAAATTCGACAATTACAGTGCACACTGATTGTGGAATTTCAAATGTAATGAGGGAAGAATTAACAAAGAAAAGGGAAAACCTGTTTCCCTGGCACACCGCTGCTCGCCGTGGGGGACAATGACATTGAGGGAAGAAGAGCAGTGAGAGCAGGGTGGTGCAGGTCATGGCAGACAGGAGGCTGGTGGATCATGTCCTGCCTTTCCCCTGGTCATGGCTGCCCGACAGATTCTTCAGGTCAGAGCAGGGTCATTAATGTCCTACAAAAGGTTGAAAACTGGGGGCTCTGGAGGGAAAGCTCAGCTCTGACTTCTGAAACAAAGTTGGTTTTGCTTTTTGCTTCCCCCCCCCAGCAGCAGCTTGTGTCGCCCT